CTGCATTAGTACACAACCTAAACCCATTTTTGATGCATCGCTATAAACGACAAAATCTTCTACTCCTTCTGGTAGTGATAAAACCGGTGCAGTGCTTAGTCTCTCCTTAAGTGTCTGAAATGCTTCTTCTTGTTTCGTCCCCCAATCAAACTTAACCGACTTCTTTGTCAGTGTTGTCAAAGGCGTTGCTATTTTGGAGAAATCTTGAATAAACCTTCGGTAATACCCAGCTAGGCCTAGAAAACTTCGGATCTTTCGTTTCCTGACCAATACATCAACAATATCTTCTACATAACTGAGTTTGTTGATGACTTCGACACTTTGTCAAAACTTATGACAGGTGACTTATCAGCTAAAACTTCCTCGATTTTGACATAAAATATCGATTGATCACTTTGTAACTATGTTGGCCAACTTGGTTGATTACTTCTATGAGTTCTCTAACTCTTTTGTCCAAAATACTTTTGACTTTATTTACTTTACTTACCATAATACGATCATGCCCTCCTAAAGTGATGTCTTTAACATCTATATGTCCCTGATTTGAACTCTCTCATTAGCATAACTTTACATGTACTATGCATTTCTATTATACTCATGTTGTTATTTATCTTATACTGGTAACATATGTGACTATTGCACTTTCTTGCATCTAATACAGAAGTTATGTAGACATAACTTTCATGCTTGAAAATGAAATTACTAAATATATCATTCCATAATTGAACATTGTTGGAAGTATTCATCAAATATGATGGACGATAGGGAAGCACTACTCATGATACTTTATCGAACATGATACACAATGTTAATGTCCTTACTGATACTCTGATGCATACTTGATGGATACACTGATAGTTKCYWAAAACGTTAATGCTTAAATAACATTCATACTAAATATTGTTGAGGTATTGCATCATAACTTATAGTACATGCTCTACCTTGTCTTGCCATCTCTCTATATGGTAGGGAACACATGTTGCATCACTTATCTCACTAGAAATATCTCATACCAATGTTTGTTTTACTAATTTGACTTTGTACCTAGGCCCTTAGGCAAATACTAGTCCTTACCGAATCTCGGAGCTTGTTTGTCCCTAAATTCATTGATCAATCTTCATGTTAGCTTCACAATCATGGCAGATCTGGATTTATCTTCAAGAACACCAAGAACAATATTGAGAGAGAAAGTCAAGATCTTTCA